TTATTTTAAAATAAAAAAAAATATAATAATTTTTAGAATTTCAACTTAGATTCCTTGTTTCCTTCAATGCACGGGAATTGGTTAAATTTACTTTTTCATCTGCTAACTATTACTCTCTTACCACTTTAGTTTTGAAAGTTTAGTTTCTTTTAAATTTATCTATAGATTTTGAAAATCATATCAAATTCATCTTTTCAATAAACTTCCGTTATTTTTTAATGGAATCCCTTGTTAATGCTTATATGCCACCAATTAGTGCTTATGTTGCATATGCAATTTTGAAAAATTATACTTTAGCCTCAAAAATTACATAAAAATTTTTAATTAAGTTTCATATTCAAGCCTCTTCATTGTACAATTTAGTCAATTAAGTCCTTAAATGGACTAAATTATAATTAATCAAAGCTAATGATAAATAGATTAAACTTCATTTGACAATCTTTTTCGATGCTTTAGTTTTTGGTTTTTATGTCTTTTTTCTATTTTAAAAATATATAAAATATTATTTAAAATAAATATTAAATATATTTTATATATATTTGAGATGTTTAAGTACAAAAAAATCTACAACTGCAGTTAAACTAAACCTAAAATTGTAAGTTTAATCTGTTAATTAGTTAGTATTATAATATTATTTTTATCAAATTAAAATTTAAAAATTATTTTTTTACATGTAAGAATTTGAAATATATACTCCATCCATCATAGAATAATAGATATTTTTTGAATTTATCTTTAAATTAATTATCTGAAAACAATTTCTATTATAACATATTTTACTCTTAAAAAAGAAATAAAAATAAAGAATCTTTCTAATAATAGGAAGAATAATAAGTAATCATTTGTCACAAAAAGTCTCTTTTTATCTTTATTATTTATTTTTTTTAAGGATAATATAGATAAATATAGGTTAAAACCCCTTTTTGGTCCCTGGATTATTGTACGGACCCTCGATTTGGTCCCTGAACTAAAAAAATCTCTGATTTGGTCCCTACTGTTTACCATTTTTACCCCGATTTGGTCCCTCCGTTAAAAATTGTGTGACGTGACCTGTTACTTAACAGTTAGCGGATGACATGTCATGTAATAATCCACGTGGAAGATAATGTAACCAAAAAGTGATGATGTGGAAAAAAAATAACATAAAAAAATATTATA